ATATATATATATATATATATATTTCAATTGATTTTTCAATTAAAATCCAAATTTCCAACCGATATCCGTTGGAATTTTTTTTAAAATTTTCAAAAGAATTTTCAACCGGCATCCGTTGGAATTCGGTTGGATTTTTTTTAAAAACAATTTCCAAAAAAAATTTCAACCGGCATCCGTTGAAATTTTTTTTAAAAATTTCCAAAAAAATTTCCAACCGGCATCCGTTGGAATTGTTTTCTAACAAACATCCGTTGGAACTCCGTTAAAAATTTGCAACCGATTTTTCCAACGTTAATCCGTTGAAAATTTCCAACGGATATCCGTTGGAAATTTCCAACCCAATTTTTCAATTGAATACGTTGAAAATTCCGTTAAAAATTTCCAACGGGTGTTTCCAACGGATACCCGTTGGAAATTTTTAACGGAATTTTAACGGAAATCGTCGTTGAAACGCCGTTGAAAACCGTTGAAAATCCAATTTCAAACGGACAAATCCGTTGGAAAATCCGTTGGAATTCGAGGATTTTTTTGTAGTGTCAGGACTCGATTTTGGTAAAGGTAAATTTAGGGTTTTTTATTCATATTTACTGAACCGAGATGTTACTGTTTCAAACCGATTCTAGAGAAACCGGTTTTCTAAAACCCAGTTCTGATTACGTGGCTCAAAAATCCCAGTTGGCGTGTCTTATCACTTGCCACGTAGAATATAAAATCATATTATTATAGGAAAAAAAACCCTAAAAATTTCTGAACTTGTAATTTGGAGTAATATTAATTCCTAAACTTGTAGAGGTGCCTGTTAATTCCTAAACTTGCAAAATTGAACACGTTAAATCCTAAACTTGTTAAACGGTTCCATAATCGTCCATAACACTATTTGGTCAAAAAAAAAAAGAGTTGACCGATCTGACGTGGCGCGTGACGTGGCGAGCCAACTCAGAAAATCACCGCCACATCACGCACCACGTCGGATCGGTCAACTCGTTTTTTGACCAAATAGTGCTATGGACGATTATAGAACCGTTTAACAAGTTCAGGATTTAACGTGTTCAATTTTACAAGTTTGGGAATTAATAGGCACCTCTACAAGTTTAGGAATTAATATTACTCCAAAATACAAGTTTAGAAATTTTTAGGGTTTTTTCCGTACAAAAAATAAAAAGATAAGATAACGAATTATAAGAAGAGAAGTAGCCTAAGTAAGTAGTATTGCTAATATGAACTGTCAAACCATGACATAGCTCGAATCATGTAAAAATCCACATACAAATATATATATATATATATATATATAACGACTTAGTTATATAATTTTAGGTCCAGATTTTAAAATCTTTTACAATAATTTTGAAATAGAGGAAACACAAACTTTTTTGAAGTTATAAAAAACATGCAATGTCACACAAGTACATTTTGTTATAATAACAACTATATTTTGTTATAAAGAAAATAATCTAATAGTTGTAGTTTTTCTATCAAATATTCAAAATTTAAATTGATTATGAATTATTTTAAAAAAATATACTAAAAAAGATATTTGAAAAAAATACATTTAATTTAGAAATATTATTTTAAATATAATTTTTTCTAAACCATTCATAATCAAATTAGAAATTAAAAGATATTCATACTTTATTCACAAAAATCAAATCCTAAAAATTTCTGAACTTATATTTTGGAGTAATATTAATTCCTAAACTTGTGGAAGTACCTATTAATTCCCAAACTTGTAAAATTGAACACGTTAAATCATGAACTTGTTAAACGGTTCCATAATTGTCCATATCAATATTTGATCAAAAAAAGAGTTGACCGATCCGACGTGGCGCGTGACGTGGTGAGCCAACTCAGAAACTTACCGCCACGTCACGCGCCATGTCAGATCGGTCAACTCGTTTTTTTTTACCAAATAGTGTTATGGACGATTATGGAACCGTTTAACAAGTTTAGGATTTAATGTGTTCAATTTTGCAAGTTTGGAAATTAATAGGTACCTCTACAAGTTTAGGAATTAATATTACTCCAAATTACAGATTTAGGAATTTTTAGGATTTTTTCTCTATTATTATAATCAGTTTTTTCGAATGACTGATATGACACTTTTTAACAAGATTAGGATTTATTGGAACACTTTTTACAAGTTTAGGAATTATTTGGCACGCTCGCAAGTTTAGAAATTTTTTTCTCACAATTTACAAGTTCAGGAATTTTTAGGGGTTTTTTCCTTTATTTTATTTGGACGTTTATTTTTATCAATTGCTTTATGATTTCCTAGATTTATCATTCTATCTCTAAGTACCTCTATAATTTACGATTTAACCTAAATTCAGTATAAATAAGATAAAAATGATATTAAAAACAAAAAAAATAAAGTCTTAGGTGTTAGTTTTGTTTTTTTTTTATTTAACAAAGGATATTCCGTATGATTGCTCGATGTCGCACGTGTGAGCATTTGGACACATAGTTATGCCTATAAAAAGGTCGTGGGCCCACGTGCGAAGAGGACGGACAAGAGTTCGTGTTTATTTGGACTGACTTGACACGTCACCAACGCTCTTCAATAATATTAATTTATTTTAATTAGCTCGGCTTAATTATATAATATATATATTCACATAATATTTTGTCACTTTTTTAAGTGCAATTAATCTAGTCCGATACAGCATCGATCTCTTTTTCTTTTTCTATTTTTTTTTAAATAATAATAATAATAATTTCCATTATTGCTTTGCTTATACTTTACACTTTTTTCCCCCACGAGTGCCACTAAGTGGCCACAGCTTACCTTTGACCAATTTATCATCTTGCCATACAAAAATTGAGAAGAAAGAATATAATTTGGCATAGGTAATGGCCTCGGAAGAAATGAAAAATATTTATTTAATTATTAATATTAAATACACAAATTTGCACGAACGGCCTGACTAAGGACGCCCATTAATGATTTCTTATTCAAACATATTTTAAATATCTCTGTTTGGTTATTCCTAATCAAGAATCTGAATTTCCATATATGTGTTATCAAGAGATAAAAAAAAATACAAAAAAATTGCGAAAGAAATTTTGTAACCGAATGCGGTGCATACTTGTGATGACGTGGGCTTCTTAATTTTTATATATAATGAGAAATATTTCTTTTTTATAATGGTGGGAACCTAATCGTTGTCATTCGCGTGTACATTAGTTAAACCCTCGATCATACACAATAACCCTCATACATTATAAAGTTTTGCATGCGAATCATATAAAATGTGTGACCAAACTACATAAAATTTTAACACATAAAATTAAGCTAGCTATAAAAATTTTAGGCATAAACCAACCTATTATATATATGTGTGTATATATATATATATTGGGAGTTGTGTTGCAGGATTTGAAAAATCGAAGCTTCTTGAGTGGGAATTAATTTGTTCGGACAAAACTTGTTAGAGTTGGAACAAAAAGAGTCAAGAGATGACAAAAGTGTACACTGAAGTTGCATCCAATTTGGGGGACATTTTGTCTGATAACAACAACACAATTGCATGGGGGAGTGGTGCTATATAACTCTAATTAAGACACTACTTAATTAATGTTAATTAGGTTAACCTGTTTAGTAAAGGAAAATAGCAATATATTTATATATATATATAGAGAGAGAGAGAGAGAATCCATTATTAGTATTAATTTTGGACAGGAATAATTCTTGATGATATGCTTATCTGACACCTAATCATAACATTCAACTCTCCTATGTTTTTTTTATTATTATATTATAAAACTTTGTTAATTATGTGTTATTAATGAATGAGACGTACATTTGGGGCGTGTGTTTCCACCATATCATTAAATACTGTTAGTGAAGAAAGTGAAAACATGCTATAAGTTATTAACTTATTATATTCATACTTATTGTAAAATATATATATATATATATTATTTATTTCTAACAACTATTAATTTACTTGAGATCCATGTAAAAACCCAGACAATCTTCTCGAGTCTGTTGCGCAAATCAAAGTCAAACCTGCGCATCGGATCCTGATATATATATATATATATATTGCATATACACATCTATGCGTTTTTATTTTTTTATTTATTTATTCTTAATTGGGCATGTATATAATTCTGTTACTAAGGGATAGACATAATTTTTAATGTTTGTTCTGTATATACGCAAAGGTGCAATTGGGTCGAACTTGTAGTGATCATGAGGCTAGGTCGACTTATTTGAATAGGCTCATGTTATATATATATATGTATTTGTAATATAGCATATAATAGAGCATTCAACTTGTAATAAAAATATTTTAAAAGTTGAATAGTTCAATATTTCCGTTTGTCATGTGACCCAAGATCTTTCTCTTTTGTCTTAGAAGTGTATATCAGCATTGACAATTTGACATGTTGTGTTGAATCCAAGAATCAGTTCATATTTTGGATCGGACAACATAGATCGTGGAATTTAGATTCGGATTATGTATAAATCAGTCGAAACTTTATTTTTCATAATCCGCGTAAAACAAAAAATCATGCTGTAAAGAGAGGAAGGTTCTATATATCTTTCTGCTTGCATATTGATCAGTTCCTCGTCATCCTAAGAGCCAAAGCTTGAAGCTCACTCAAATCGTTATTACAGTGAGTTGCTAATCTCTTCTTGTCTGGATAACCACAGTAACCATCATGTCCACTGCTCCGAATCTCTTGCATGCTCATGACGTGGCTGCTCGTGTTTCTCTTTTCAAACGATTCGAACGAGCTTTGCGGGGAGACCAGGTTAGGGTTTATGGGATTGTACGGCGTCGTAGTACTTGTTGGAAACCCACTTGTTAGTTCCCACAAGTGGCGACTCTCCGAGATATTTGGTGGATTGGTCAAGGACGTTGCCGTGCTGTGGTGAGCGAGTTGAGCCTTCAGTTGCATCAGTTGTGCTTTCAAGAAAGCTACCTGTATATATGTATAGACGAAACAAAAATTAATAAAATTTTACGTATAACCAAAGTGATTATAGTTCTGAGAAAGAAAATTAAGAGAGATTAATTAACCAACTCTTGTGCATACAATGAGTATATCCCATCATTGTATATTATATTATGTCCAAAATACAAATTTATCTACAAAACCCAATGGAATAGCTTAATTACATCTAACAAAACATATTATCATATAAATCACAAATTCGATCCTCTGTCTAGAAAAAAAAAACCTCCGAAAATACTTTCACGTGGAGATTCAAGGACTGGTGATTCACCTGCTGTTGGAGGGCGAAGATATGAGCGACGCAACCGTAGACAGGGTCACTGACACGAGCCTCCGCCTCGTAGGCAATAGAGACGACGGCTTCGCACCGGTCGTGGACGGGAACGTTGAGCAGGAGCTTGGCCACGTTGCTTGCTCCGAAGACTTTGTGTACGGCGGCGAATCTCGCCGGACCTTGCTCCGACGAGAAGTACGGGGCGAATACGCAGTCCCACGCGCACTTTCTCCGGAGGAACTTGCACGCGCCGCACGGCGATCCCGTCCCGGTCCCGGAGCCGCCGGAAAATTCCATGTCCGAGGAAAACAGATGGTATATATATCGAAAGGAGAGTGATTACAGATGTTGCACGAGGGGACTAGGAAGTGGTGCGAAAAGGACAGAGATTGAGAAGAAAAAAAAAATGTTTTTTTTTTGTGTGTGTTGGTTTAATGGCTTTAGAGATACGATGATGGGGAAGTTTGGTTTGGGGTTTTATAAAAGGGGCACCATCATTAGAGACAAGTGTAGGTGCTTCTTTTTTTTTTAATAAAATAATTATAAACCTATCTCTTGAAGTGTGACTAATTTCTATATCTACGTTTTTCAACAAATACATATATAAATTATGATTATTTTCCCTCATACGGAAAAAAATGACAAAGTTAAGAAAGTTGAGACAGAAATCGGTACATGAGATGAGACATCTCCGGCTTTGTCATGATTGATTATCAAAGAGTGTTAACTATACATACATGCATGCATGCATGCATTCAAGAAAACACGTGCCCGATCTATCCTTGTTCTTCATTGCAACGATTCAAGCATATAATCACTCAACTGTGTGAACATATATATGTGTGTGTTTTCTGAAAACATATAATAAATAATTATTTTCTTAATTTTATTTTCAAAGAATTCGAATCTGAGAAGAATCAAAAATACTTTTTTTGTATTTCCCATCAAAATCTACAATAACAAAGAAGTGAACGCGGGGTGTGAATGGTAAAGGCATTGAGGGTCGTCTTGTAAGGTTGTAAGGGAACAACGAATAATGGCGAAGGGCACCATGAGGATTTGTTCGTTTTTTTAATTGGCTTCAATATTCAATTCAGTCTTTCTTTTCTCTTCGCCGATTTTATATATATATAAAAAAAAGTGTTTTCCTCTAATTGCTAGACAATCAAGCAAAATATTATTTATTGGTCATCCTGATAATATATCAAGGAATTTATCAAGCGTATATCATTATTCTTATTATTAAACTTTAATATTAAAAAAGAAAATGAAATGCGGGTTAAGTTGTCCGGACGCCGGACATCGGAACTGCTGATGTTTGTCGTGTAGTGGGGACCGGTTAAACCACCGACAGATACTAATGCCGCAAATGCATTTTTGAATCTTTTGTTTAATCACGTAATTATTAATCTTTCTTTTTTAAGGACAAACATGACTCCAGTTAAGCTGGTTTTAACATATTGATCTGCTAAAGGTGGGAACACTGATATTCGGTTCTTGTCGAGTGTCATTATGATTCCATATCAGTAATATGCATCTGATGCCTTCTAAGTTCTAACCCTGGTTTTGATCACCCTTGTAATAAAGATCAATGCACCTATGTATATATATATATACGTACTTCTAACATGAAATATATATAAAAAAAAACACAGAGAAAAATCCAATCGAGACATCACAAGAAGAAACATGGCATCCATGCAAACGACGACGGCATACAAACTAAAAAGTGGCTCTTTCTTCAAACACATATGTATGTAATGTAACCATATATGTTATAAAAAAACAAAAGGGTCCTTTTTATAAAAACCAAACCGAAACGGGCTTTAACCAGTTTTTGCCTTAACCAAAAAAAAATCGAAGAGCCCTCAACGGTTGCCATTCCGTGTTATCGCTGCTTCTGCTTGTATAAGGCTCTTTAGTTTGGTGAATGAATTGGGCAGAACAATGGAATGATCCCTAGCTTCTCCTTAGTGCACAAGCGGATCTTGCATGAAAAGGTACTGCATCCAGACAGCATCGGTCCAAAGTTACCCACCGAGGCATTATATAAACTTATAAGTGAGTTTGGGTTCAAGGCATAAATATAGATATACCTCGAAGGATTTTCCGGATCTTTCGAATTCCAACATGCTCAGAGCAACTTCACAGCTCTGTGAAACAATTGGCTCGGAGTCCCGAGCAAACTCCTCTAGCAGAGCAACACTCTGCTCATCTGCAACAACGAGCAATACCCCTTTAAATATACAGTAAACTAGACCGATCGTAGTTCAACGCGAAAGATGATATTTCAGAGAAGGGATGTATCGAGAGATAGGGTTTTGAATATATATATATATATATATACACACACACACACCTGCTATAGAGCCAAGAGCTTCTGCAGCTTCGTGTCTGACCATAGGGTGCTCATTCCCATCCCTAAGTATTTTGCTCAGAGCAGCTGAAGCAGCTTTGTTTTGCAATTGGCCCAAAACATAAGCAACCTGAAAAAACAAAATCGAAACAACAACCAAAACCAAATCAGCATCCATAGTTTGAAGTTCTGAATATGACAGACTCCAAGAAAGCCAAACGAAACGAAATAATTTCAGACAGTGTGTTCTCAACAGACAAAGAGACAGAACCGAAAGTCATCCAGGGTCGCTAGATGAAACAAACCTCGTGCTTCAGAAGGGCACTATTTGAACCCAAGGAATCAACTATGGCTGAAACAGAGTCTTCTCCCCCGTGATTTCTGAGTGCGAAAAGTGCTGCATATCTCTCGTACATGCCTGTTGTTTCATCTAGAAGCACTTCCCTACAGTTTGAGAAAATTTTCAATGACCTGTCACTAAAATGATAAATCATCTAAAGATTCTGAATGGATCAAACTGTGAACAAACCTCAGTTGCTGGATGGAGGAGAAAGAAGATGCAGGAGCGGCAGGGTCAACAGACATAAAGGGCGAATTCTCTGTCACGGATGACTGATTCTCACTGTCGGTAGTTCCCACCTCCTCGATCCTCTTGAGAGCCAGTTCACATGTTTCCCGAACCTCCTGAGCTGGATCTAAGACCAAGCTTTTCTTTAAAATGTCGATATTACCCACCAAACCGATGGCACCGAGAGCCTCTGCCGCCTGCATTTTGACAAAGAAAATAAGAATAATCTGAAATCAACTCCCAAACCAGCCATTAATTAACAATACTCACCTCATGCCGGACAATCGGATGCAAAGACATATCGTTAAGGACTGACACCAGGGCAGGAATAGCTTCGGCATCCTGCATCTGTCCCAACGCGAATGCAGCTTCGTGTGCTAGCAAATTAGACGAATCCCTTGTCGCTGCAGTAAATCAAAAAGAAAGAGAGGTAAAGAGATAGGAAAAGTCAAAACCAGTGTTGGCAATTGATTGAAACCATTTTCTCGCTAAAACTGCTATAATGCATTCTTGTCTGGTCGTATTTCAAGAATCGGATGGGAAACACAACCGTTTGAATATTGCTAGAGAGAAAGCGGCAACCAAGAGCAGATATGACTTATGAGGCACGTAGCTATAGAGAAATTAGCTACAACACCCTGATGAACTAGTCTTGATTATATAAGCAAACTACAGGAGCTTCGTTCAATCATGAACAAGAGGAAAATATGCAGCAACTTGTAGCTTTGAAGACGCCGAGAGAATATCATTAAAAGAATCAAAATTTCCAGATTTGCCACATTCATAAACGCACCAAGAGCTTTACTGATAACTTATGAAGACTGCAACAGAGGTAAGGATAGAGATACAAATTGTTCGCACATTCTATTCAAGCAGCTGCATATGACTAAGAGGGCATTACACAATATATGTCAGGAGGAGAAGATTAACAGTTGAGTCGCACAATTTAAGGTAACCGGCACAAAGAAAATTTACTAGCCAAAAACCCATAGGCTTGTCCAAAGACGGAAACTTCATAGATGCAACTAAGATGCTCCCTAAATTACACGATCATTCTACCAAGTAAGCGGGTAAAAGATTCAGCTTCAGATTTAGGACAACGAATTCACAGAGATGAACAAACCTTGGATAAGAGCTTTTCTAGGCCCAGGGCCCTTCAAGTTGCGAAGAGAGAAGAGGGCTCTAAACCTCTCCGAGATCGGCTGCGACTGGTCCAGCAATCGCTCGCATAGAAACTTCTCAACGGCGCTTCCGCTGGTGCTTTCAATCGACGAATCTGGCCCGTTGGATCCCATCACTACGCAATTGCGGACAAAAGAGATCAGGATTCCGTCGATTTCGGAGACGACGAGGCTGGAGAAGACAGAACACGAGACTAGGGTTTTCGGGTAAGACAGAATCCGATTCGTGAAAAAAAAAACCGTAGGAAAGATGACACCGGGGGGCGGGCATGTTCCTTAAATAACTTCTCCCTCTTTAACCGACTTCTGTTTTGACCCCATGGAAAGTTTTAAATTTCAATTAGGCCCAAACCTTTCCATGTATTCCAAAGCGAAGTGTTGCATTGATTTGTGTTAATGGGTATTTCGATCTCGTATTCCTTAACTTCTCGCTCTTTAACCCACCTATGTTTTGACCCCATAAAAAGTTAAAATTTTCAATTAGGCCTCAAAAGTTTCTAGATATTCCAAATCGAAAGTGTTGATTTGTATCAACATTCCGTCTTCTCTGCGGGTTTGTCCTGATCCTCGTAGAGGTCCCAGTTTCTTCTCCATTTTGGACAAAGTTTTCGAATCCCATAGGCAGCTTGATTCATCACCGGTTCTCGCCCCGTTTTTGTCTCGGAACCGTAGATCCGGTTGAAGAGTCTGAGCAACTTTTGAAGCATACTCGAAACGCTCGGAGGATTTATTTACTTCTTTGTTCGATTGATCCATGAATCCTAGAAGGTCAGCTCAATCGAATCCTTGAAAACCAGTTTTTTCAACGCATCGATTTATTTTGGGAAACATTGATTTTTTGATTTTGTGTTCCATGGATTAGGGTTCGTAGCTATTAGCCTAAAGATCCAGTAGTGGATCTGAAGAAACACACAATTATATACGTAAATAGAGTATGATTTCCGTGCAGTATCTGTGAGATCAGACACGAGTTACAAATTACAATCAGGAAATTCGCATGAGTCCGCTTCGCTGAAAGGACTCGATCGGCATCAATTCCGATTTTTCTTTATGAACTGAACCCGAAAATCAATCTTTCGGTTTGTGAATCAGAATTCATTTGGTACCGTAGATAGCAGCTGATCTTCCTTATTGCGAGTGAATCATGGGGGTTTGGCTTTTAGACATTGAGAACAGGAGTTCCTTAGATCTAGTAAACTTGACAACTGAAGTGCCATCAGCTTTGCTTGGCATTTCAGTTGAGATAGATTGTTGCTTTGAGTTGTTTATCTACCAAATCTTACAATGAAAAACTTGGGTGTCATGCCCGTTTTTCCTTTCTGAGGCCTAAAATCTTGCAGGGAGAATCGCGGGGCCAGAAGTTCCGTCTTTGATGGCATCGAAGAGGGTGGGATCAGGGCTGCGCCGTCTTACTCTCACGAAATCGATGAACATGAGAATGAACGAGCCTTGGAAGGATTGCAAGACAGAGTCAATCTTCTGAAACGGGTAAGCAAGCATTCTTCCGTCTGTTCCACCGTCATGTTCAAATGTCCACTGTAATGCCAGTGAATGGGTACCGCTTCAAGATAGGTCATGGCTGTAGATTAGAACATGTCAAATATTGACACTCTGGCTCATCGTTTATATGAATCATGGATTTACTTAATTTGGTTTCATAAACAGCTATCTGGTGATATAAATGAAGAGGTGGAAACCCACAACCGCATGCTTGACAGAATGGTACCTAGAAAACATTCCCCCATCTCTTTAGTTACGTTTCTTTTTCTCACCGGCTTCATTGTTACTGAATATTTTACATTGGTTCCATACAGGGCAATGATATGGATTCGTCGAGGGGAATCCTCTCAGGAACCATGGATCGATTCAAAACGGTAAACCCGAGTAGAATAACTTATTGCTGACTGCAATTCTCTTGACTCCATATCATTTAGCTAAATTTTTCGATCATGCAGGTGTTTGAGACGAAATCGAGCAGGCGAATGTTGACATTCGTGGCGTCGTTCTTGGCTCTATTCCTAGTTGTATACTATCTTACCCGTTAATTCTGCAGCGGCAAAAGAACCCTCGTGATCTTCGTTCATGCCTGAAGATGGATCATGCTTGTTCACTCGTTGCCCCGGCCCCGACAAGATATATCATGTCCATCACGCAATGGTTATGCTTTCAGTGTTATATTGTGGGTGGTTTACCAAGTGGTTCATACGAATGACAGAAACATAAGACTGGTTAAAGTTCTATATATGAAAAAACATTACCGTATCTGTATCCGTGGACCATGGTGATGGTATGCCACAAAAGTACAGAAAGCTGTTCGTACTAGATCCGCTCCTAACAATTAGACCGGAGAAAAAAGAAGGGAAAGGTGTGTGTAATGGGTCAGTGGGCCGGTACACATAACAAAGCCCAAGAGGCCCAAGGGGCCAAGAGTAAAAAAAAAGTGACCAAGATGTCAGTAAAAACGAAAAATTTGCACCAGCCGGGAATCGAACCCGGGTCTGTACCGTGGCAGGGTACTATTCTACCACTAGACCACTGGTGCTTGATGGAAACCGAGACTTAAATCATCAATTTCGAAGATGGCGGTCGAGTCCTTTAAATTTTCCAAAAACAAACAAAAAACGGCAAACATGTCTGGATATGGGATTCTGCTGCTCTACTACGTGCCGTCTTTGTTGTCCACCGTCTTCGTCTCCGTCTGCTCGACCTCACCCCTCGCCGGTGTTCACCCCTTGGGTAAACCCTTCAGTCTGGTTTGATCTCCTGGTCTATATATTTGGAAATTATGTTTATAAATTTGGAATCTTTTCTTTTCCTTCGGGGCGCAGATGAAAAGTACTTTGATTCGGATGTGATCAAATGCAAGGACGGCTCCAGATCCTTCACCAGAGACCGTCTCAACGACAACTACTGCGATTGTCCCGATGGCACCGATGAACCCGGTACCAATTTATCCTCACCCATTTTCTTATACAGCTTCGAGCGATTCTGGGTACTGCGAAATTCGGTGACTTTTAGACTTTTGACTATTGGGCACTTCCAGATAGTATGGAAATGTTTTCCGTTCGATAGATTTTTTTTTTCAGGGAGTTCGATATGTGGAGGATATATGCGTAGATTATCAGGTATAACTGTAGAACAACAATGGAGAGAGTTTATGTTTGTGTATATGATGAGGTTTGATTAGCAGAAGCAGCTTCTCGAACCGGTGATTAAAATATCATTGCAGGATCATGGAGAGTCGTAGATGTTTGAGAAGAATTTAGAGTTCTACGTTTATGGTATGTTGATGGTTGTGATGATATGATAATCATGATTGGAATAATCCAGGAGCTCTGCTTTGGAGTTTCTGATACTAAAACTGTGTTTGAATGCAAAACTCTGAAAGAAATTTCAGTGCCACTCTACTGATACCGTTTTCTTAGTGTCAAACCCGAATTACGCTGGAATGGGGATTTGTATAAACTTGTTCTGTTGGTTTGTAATGTCTCCCTGAAGATATTAAGTGTTTGCAGGAACAGCAGCGTGTCCAGCGGGGAAATTTTACTGCAGGAACGTAGGAAGCTTGCCAAAGTTCATTTTCTCTTCTCGGGTGAATGATCGTATTTGTGGTAAGTACGCATTGTACTGATTCCGGCTATCATCTTGTTTCCCTCAGATTCACGCTGTTTATCGATACATGAAAGATTTAAGTGGAGATCAATGATCATTTGATTAGCTTTATGTGGTCTCTATCTCCAAACCACTCTGTTTCTTGAACTGAATTCTAGGTTAGATTTTCTTTCAAAATCATGTCACTCTCTCTGAAAATCGAATCAAACTGTATGCCCAGTTGATGTTTTCACTGAATATTCGTTGTGCTTAGATTGCTGTGATGGAAGTGATGAGTATGAAGGTAGTATCCGTTGTCCCAACACATGTATTTTGGGCGGTAACGTTCACTACAAACCCGAAAGGTGGTATACCTCTACAGCAAGGCAACTGGGTTCAACCAATACAAAGGGCACGAAAGATGGAACGAGCCTGCAGGACATGGTCCAGAAGCTCCAAGGTCTGAACTTTGAAGCTAAACCTATGTTTTTTTCAGTTGCCCGGTTGTTAGAAGACACTAACACTAACGGGCAAACGAACTATGTTTACTGTCTGCATTGATGATGTTTTTCCAGGTGTGAAGCTCATCTTTGTCCTTCAACTGGCTCTGATTGGCTCGTTGGCCGTGCTTTGGACGCTTAGACGGCATGCTCGTTCTAAGAGGAGAGGGTACCTCCGTTGACGCATTTCGATGATGAATCGATGGAGTATCCAGGTGACATTCTCATGTTTATATGAAACTGATGCAAGATTTCTGTCAATCGGTTCTGTATGGTGTTAAGACAGTAACTAACCCAATCCAAACCCGAGTTTTGAGATGAATTCTTAGATTAAGGAGTGAATTCTTGTCCCTTAACAATAGATTCTGAGACATTAAAACCCCAAAACTGAGATCGTTATCTGAGTTCCTTCCAACATCCAAACTCAGTTGTGTTGTTAACTTGTTATATCCAACTTCTCCCTAGACAGAAACCCATACAACAGTTCTCTTCTTCTGCTGCATTGTGTATGTATTGATTCTCTGCAAATTCCATAAGAGATCTTTTTCGTATATATTACAGCTTGAGTTTGAGATTCTTTGTCAGCTCGAGATCTTGCTTTGTTGTGTTTTTAATTTGATTTAATTAGTAATTTAAATATTAAAATGTTTTAAATTGATAATTCAAATGTTGAAATATTCTAAATTGAATTCACATCTCAATTCACGGAATTGAATTCGAGAGTAATTTCATTTTATATTATACATTAACATATAATTTATAAATTGTCCTTAGAGTCGAATATAATCCATTTTTTGTCCATTTAAAACATTTGAATTATCAATTTAAAATATTTTTAATATTCGAGTGATCAAATAAATTAAATTAAAATTTTAAATATTTATTTAATATATTTTATAAAATTGAGATATGTAAATGAGATGATCACTTCTGATTTGTACCCTAAAACTTGAAGACTCTTTGTGCCAATAACGAGAAGCTTAAAAGAAATCACATTATTGAAAGTTTTTTTCTTCTCCCCCGACAAATCAAACTGCCATCACGTTGCTTCTGCTCCTACTTTTATTATAGAATAAATATTTTTATAAAAAAACAATAATAAAATAAAATGGTAAAATTCGCGACACTACATCCATATTTAATTCATTGCGTAATGATTAGTTACAAATTGAGCTATCAAATGGTATCTTTGCCGCTGCTTCGGCTTTTTGTTTTGTTTTTCACTTTTTTTGTTTCTAATTTTTTTTTAATCCCATGTGAACACCTAACTACAAGATTAATAAAATAATAACATAATTAAAATGGATTAAATCTATAAAACCGAGTTAAAAAATAATCGCAATCGAAACCCGAAATATCAACTTTCAGTTTTTGTTTTTTTATAACGGTTTTTCGATATTTTATTTTGCTTGATTTACGTTCGAATTAGTTTTTTTTAATTAAAAATGTTTATTTTTCAAAACACCATTCAATTCATTTTTTACTATTGTTACATTTATACTGTTTTTAGATTATTTTAGAAAAATAAATAAAACTGGTATGGAGTTTGTTTTTAAATTTCGATTCAAATGATTCGAATTAGATATAAAATATTTAATTCAATTTGATTTGATCTAGTTTATATATATCCAACATGATATACCATATTGTGATCATAAATTGGAATTAAAACATGTACGAAATGGATACGGAAGATTCCGTATGTATTTGCCGTTACTGAGTTTTTCTTTATGCGTGTGTCGTTTTTCATTGATTTTCGTAATTTTAATCATACGATGCGTTTATTATTAATAAAAACATTATTTTAAGGACGATAAAATATTGAAATTGTATTTTTACTTTTGAGAATTTCGGGATATGATATTTGTTAGTTCCGATTCAGCCAACATTATTCAAATCACATCTCTCTTGTCAGAATTTCCAAATCTCAATCTTCAATCATTTCGTTGGTCTAAATCTAGCTAAAAGCATTTTCTTCACTAAAAATATATTGAAATAAATACTTTTGAATATGTAACGCAATTTCTTCTCCATATAGATTTATCCGTGGTTTTAATTTTATCTATAGTTATAATTATATGTATACGTACACACATTAAGGAAACAGTATAAGACATGATTCGCAAACCTAAATTGATATGATGACAATATATCATACATAATAGAAATATTATAACTATGCTGCATGCACACTGAACTGAATCAGGGATGTTACTCGGATCGTACTTACCTGATCCGATCCGATCCAATCTCGCATTCGATTCGAGGGTTTTGGATTCGCGTTCGACCGACCCGATTTTTTTTTCGAGTTTAAATAACAAAATCTGAAATCCGACCGTATAGATTTTAGATTTGGGTTCCGATTGGATCGGACCAACCCGCTGAATTTATTCTTTATAATTTATTTTTAAAATTTTTTATTAAATATTTTTTGAAAAAAAAATGAGCTTTTTGATTGGCCCGAAACCCGATCAAAATTCGACTTGAAAGCTCGAAAATTTTCATACCGAGATATTTTAAACTCAAAGCCCATTGTTTTTCGAACTAAACCGGGCCAAATTTCGAATTTGGATTCGAAATCGACATCCTTAATATAAGTGATGCACACACATATATCTTAATGAGTGTATATATATATATAATTGCATAAATTTGAGAAAATTAGAAAATGTATAAAATATCAAATTTGCGGACCACTTTATATATATATATATATATATATATTTTGTGTGTGTGTGTGGTTTAATCCATTCGTCTCTCTCTATCTAATCATTATTAGGAAGTACCATATATTATAATATTCCACTAATTAATTTAACTAAACTACATAAATTCCACTCCTTGTTTCTAAATTCTCGTTCATTTCAATTGGCCGAAGTTGCCTCGAAACTACCTGTCCCCTCTCCTCGTACGTGTTTCACTGTTTATTAAGCATTGCGATTTTATGTGAATATCACTTGGAATCCTTGCAATAAAAAAAATACCATTGAATTCGTTACACTTCTTTGATAATTAGATTCATTTCAAAGTTTCCCTCACATATGATAATCGATGAAATTTATATACATATACATTTTTTTTATAACTAGGATGACTCTCCAGACTTTCGACCCGATTACATTCATCCTAAGTTCGGATCCAACCCTTTGTATTTGGTCCAGAAATTACATCCATTCTCATCAGTGGAATCGAACCCAAGTCATAATATATATATATATATATATATATATATATGAGATAATTGGTGATAGATAAAGCATATGGATGAAAGTATTAGTATAAGGGCATATAGTGGAAGGAAAGAGATGAAGAGGAGGGCATCTGTCCTACATGTGGGTGTGGTTTGGGGACAAAGCAAAGGAGATGGAGAGAGAGAGATGTCTTCTTACAAACAAAAAAAAAACAAATCACATGGCATGGCACATGATCATGATACTTTCTTCTTCCCTTTTCATTTGCCTTTCACAGCTCATCTCTCTCTCTCTCTCTCTCTCTCTCCACTTCCACTACTCTTAGCTTGCCACTAAACCCCTCTTATTCTTCCTTTGCATTTTCGCCCATATTATCAAGTACCGGATTCCTATACGAGAATTTCTCTTTCGGACCCATCTTGATATTTGATTATATATCCATGAACCATGATGACCATGTTATGCTGAAGTTAAACGCATGCATGCATGCATGCATGCATGTTGTCAGATGTCCTCATTCTCTTCTTGGTTAGTGCGCGTGTGTGTGTGGGTGTATGATCAACCACGATGATATTTTTGTTTGATAACATATCAATTCTATACTCATACACGATCCATTTATATCATGCGAACATTTCTTAAGGACTATAGGTAGAGGCAATTGTCTAAAACTCGATATGCTATGTATTTTATAATATTTTTTACATATATTCAAAGTAATTTTTTAAAAAAAATGTTATCAAATAATCAAGTATAATATCACTAACTTAGCATGATCTAACAGGGGAATAAGAAGTGAGAGAAACAAAATTGCACAACATATATTCAAAGTAATTTTTAACCGCGCGGTTAAACGTGGTGTAATATATGCACACTATCCAATGGAATTTAGACAGGTGTCACGTATCGGGCGGTACGGATGATGAAAGGGTCGGAAGGATCACGTGGAGGAGGAAGCATGGGAATGTTTCCCGCACCAAAGAGAGAGGATGGATAGTAAAATTCAAATATAAATGGAAGGAAAAAGAAAGACTAAAAATGGGCAAAAGAGAGAAGGGCACGTGCTCCCTCACTCTCTCAATGGATTTAATAATAATAAATAAATAAATAAACTACTGCCAAGGCCTCCAAACCCTCTCCCCCAAACAGCTGTTTCATAGCTGTCCGATCTCCCTCCCCATGTGACCCCACTGTGAGATAGAGAAGAAATACCCATTTAAAGATTTTGAGAGAGAGAGATTAGAGGTTGATTATATTCTTCTGATTTATATATATATATATATATATATATATATTTGTTATTGTTGTTGGTGTGGATTTTATTCATCTCATCATATATGCAGCCTTTCTTCTTCTCCCTCTCTTCTCTTCCATCCATCTATTTATATTTATATTTCAACTGTTTGTTAAACATAGCCATTTTGGTTTACTCTCTCTCCGTTTCTTCTTCTCCTTCCCTCTCTCTCTTCCTGCGTTTCAGGACATTTCGATTTCATTCCATTTCCTTCAATTTTGATTCTTTCTTGGATTTCCCATTTGGGTTTTCGGTTTTCTCAATTGGGTTCGTGTTTGTTTTTTGGTTTCTCTTGCAGTTAAAGAGTAATTTTATCGTTTCTCTCCTCTTGTGATTTTCTTGTTCTTGGTTTAATTAGTTTTGCGGGGGATTGTTCGTTTCTTGATTTTTTTTTTTTTTTGTGGTTTCTCGTGTGCCATTACGAGGTAAATATTTTGGGTAATCCTCTGTTAATGGCACAGCTTCCTCCCAAAATCCCAAACATGCCTTCACATTGGCCTGACTTCTCCTCCCAAAAGCTCCCCTCTCTCTCCCCCTTCACCGCCGCAGCAACCGTCAATCCCTCCGCCGCCTCAGGAGCCGGCCAAAACCCATCGTGGGTGGACGAGTTCCTCGACTTCTCCGCCGCCCGGCGCGGCACTCACCGCCGCTCCATCAGCGACTCCATCGCCTTCCTCGAGACTCCCGTCTCCGGTGGCGTCCACGTCAGCAACCACCACGGCCACAACCACTTCGACAGGTTCGACGACGACCAGTTCATGTCCATGTTCTCCGACGACCTGCAGCACCCTCCCAGTAATCACAACAATGTGGGCCCCACGGGATCCTCCTCCAACACCTCCTCGCCGTCCGACCACAACAGCATCAACGACGACAACAAAGAGCTGCCTTCCGACAAGGACACCGCCGCCAATCATACAGGCCGCGGAAACGGCAGCGGAGAGGCGGGGGAGGGTCAGAGCCAATGCAAGACGGAGGCGCCAATCCCAACTCCACCGCCAGCTCCGGCAACCGCATTCTCGACCCCAAAAGGGTGAAGAGGTAAATAAAGTAATTAAAATAATTGATATATATATATATAAAACAGTTACTATTACAAAACCCATCAGGGTCATGCATGCACGTACGGCAGATACCTGAGAATATCTATCTATATGTATACCAACATTTCACAAAAAAAAAAAAAATTAACGTCGCATCAAAACTTTATTACATTTAATCAAATCATGATTACAAACTTTTTTTTTATTATTCCCTAAATGTTTCACCAGGATTTTAGCAAACCGGCAATCCGCACAAAGATCGCGCGTGAGGAAACTGCAATACATATCGGAGCTAGAACGCAGCGTTACTTCCTTGCAGGTACATACATTTATTTATACAATATATATACATATTAATTATATTAGAATAATTAATAATAAATCATGATAATAGTAGCTAATGGATGTAATTAAATATGTGTGATTAAGGCGGAAGTGTCGGTATTATCGCCAAGAGTTGCGTTCTTGGATCACCAGCGGTTGCTTCTGAACGTCGACAACAGCGCTCTCAAGCAAAGAATCGCAGCTTTAGCCCAAGATAAGATTTTCAAAGACGGTAATTTCCATTTTTAACCTCCCTTTTTTCTTCTAACTCTATTTAATTTTATAATATTCTACATGCGTATTTTTTTTTTGTTTCTTTTCAATTAATGTGAAGTTATCCATACATAGAATAAAGGGCGGTGGACGTTTTCAGTGAAATATTAGGAAACAACTTTTGCAAGAAAGATTTGAAAAGTTATATTATTTATGACTGTGTATGCATTAGAAAAGCAATCAAATTCAATTTCTATAATTAGATTTTATTTCATTAAATTCTCAAGTTAGGTGATCGGTGAGATTTTTTCATATTCATATGCTCATTATGAGTATATATATATATATATATATGTATATATTTCTTGAGCTTTTCGTCACCACTCACATATAGAGCTCGACCAAGAATCTTCTTCTTTAGCAATACAAGGAATTCTTCTCATATATGGAGAGTTTAATATGTAGTTTTACATTATAATTACAAAGAGAAAACTGTTGTTTCGTTTTATAATATAAAAATATTTATAATAGGTTATTTCCTATTTTCTTTTTTAATTTTGGCAGCACATCAAGAAGCGTTGAAAAGAGAAATAGAGAGACTGAGACAAGTGTATCATCAACAAAGCCTCAAGAAGATGAAAAACGGAAGTCAGTCTCCGGCGGCGGCGGAAGATTCTCCGGCGGCTGACGTCAAGCCCTCCTCCGGCCAAACGGAGCAACTCCTCAACGTTTAAAGATCTCTCACTCTCTTCTTCCTGCCAAACATTAATTAAATATTTATTGATGAAATCTCTTTGTCTCAATTATTCAAGAAGGCAATTTAAAAAAAAAAAATCTAATCACATTTTTTTAAAAGCTGTGATACAATTCAACTTGATGTATCTGATTTTTTTTTTTTTGTGTGTTCGGGGGTGGGAGGGGAATCGATTGTTTGTAAAAAGAACTTAGCCGATTTGTTGTTCGATTTAATTTTTTTATTTTTTTTTTTGTTGGGAGTGTCTAAGCATTGTGTACTGATCAAGATTTATGTTTTTTTAATCATCTTTTCCAATCCCTTGTACATTATATTGAAATTTTTGTTATATATATATGTATATGTATAAAGATTTATAGATCTAGGTACATTAACGTTACATAAACTCCACCTTCAGGTTGAGTGTTTGATTCCTGGCTGATGGAGAGGAAGGTAATTTTTAGGTTTATATGATTCATATACAAAGGCTACTCACGAGACGGAGGTTTACCTAGTCAACGCATCCGAAGGGTAGCAACTAGGAGTCCTCCGTTATAAAAAAAACGTTACATAAACGTGTTTTTGTATCATGAAACATCTGTATACGTAAATATAATGGGGGGGGGGGGTAGAAATGAAAAAATTAGTTCTTGAGGAATTCACTTACACTGGCAATACACAAAAAGGAAACAGCTTTTTCGGATTTTCACGTTGGGGTAATTTGGGGAAAATGTGTTTGTCAGAAACAATTGGGGGTAAAAATAGAAAACATGAAAAGTAAGGGGGGCGGGGGAGAGAAGAAAAGGAGGAGCGCGTGGAGGCATCTGAAGGCTAAGCTGTACGTTCACGTGATGTGTTCTCGAGGGACCACTTTGGACTCGCTACATGATTGGCTTGTTCCTCTCTTGATAACAACGCAAAAGTCTCTCGTCTCCTAACCTTTTATTTTATTTTTTTGTTAATAATCTTATTTTATTTTATCCTTTGTTCCTTTTTTTTGGTTTTTTTTTATGTAAAAAAAAAAGAGATCCCTCTGTATTTTCAAAACTTCGATAAAAAATACATTTCAAAATTATATAATATCTTCTTAAAATTATCAGTATTTTTTGTATCAAAGAAAAAAAAAATACAAAATCACTTCAAATTATAGGTTAGATTCTCCTAATAGAAAAGAGGGACAAAATTAGTTATACTACTAAAGATTAACTCTAAGTAGGGATGGACATTTCAGGAAACGGTTCGGGTTCAGAACGGGAATTGATCGGTTTGGTTCTTTCGGTTTTACAAAAATAGGTACCAATCGGTTTTTATATTGTATTCGGTTCGGTTCGGTTTCGGTATCGATTCGGTTCGGTTCCGGATTTTATTAAAAAAGGATAGATTTTCTTTAAAAATATTCGATTTTTCGGGATTTTTAAAGTTCGGTTCGGTTCGGTTCGGTTCCGGAAAAATTCGGTTCTCTAAAAATGGTACCGTTCGGGAATTAAGAACGGTTTCGGGTCGAGAAAAGTACCGTTTTTTCGGTTCGGTTCGGTTCGATCCGGTTCCGAAGAACAGAACCGAAACGCTCAGCCCTAACTCTAAGGGGCCGACTGGTTGCACCGCCGCCACCCGCAAACGGAGTGGTTGCGATTTCTGGCGGTTGCGGACGATTGAAAAACTGACTGGTTGAACCGCAACCAACCGCAACCGCAACCAAACTTGTGTTTTCTAATCGCAGCTTCCAACTTGCGTTTTGGTAGCGGTTTTCGGCGTTTTGACAAAAAAACTAAAATATTTTTATTAGAAATTATATAAAACATCAAATAAATTAAATTGATAATAAATTTATTTTAAATTTATTATTTAATTATTATAAATTTAGTAAATAAAATGATACGAAAAATTTAATTAAAACTATTATAAAAAATTATTTTTAAATAATATTTCTTTTGACAATTTATATCAAAACGCAACCGCAACCGTAATGAACCATTCACTTCTAACTGCACCCACCCGCAATCGCTACTAATAACAACTTCTCAACCAGTCAGTACTAATCATTTATAATCGCTATCAAACGTTTTGAAAACGCTACCACCCGCAACCGTAACCGCTGCGGTACAACCAGTCGAACCCTAAGTAGGAGGAAGGCCCAATCAACTTTCTATTTATGAAAAAAGAAAAAAAAGATATGATATGAGTAAACAATGTTTATGTGGTTTTAGTGGCTAATGAGATTATTTTTTGTGTCAGAAAAAAAATGTGATTATTTACTTTCTAAAAATTGATGTCAGATTCATATTTCTTGAAATATCCGTAGAGGATAATTTTTTTAACAAAAAAAAAAGAAGAAGATGAGGCCATACTTCTTTCCGAATCAAGAAATTCTTATCATCCGCGAACAAAAAATGCGAAACCAAAAAAATCTAGTTTTCCTCTAACCCTTTTTCTCCCATTCCCCTTCGTCATATTTGCATTTGGTGTTTGGGATTGAAATGTATTTGGGGTCAAATTCAGTTTGTACGGTCAAATGTTGATTTTGGCGAGGAGTATATAAGACCACGTCGAGAGGGGGGAAAAGCTTCAGCCTTTGGGGGTTTGGATCAAGTTGAGAAGACAAAGGGAAGTGGTTTCGAATTGGGATGTCTGAAAGAGAGATTGTTTGTCAGTTTGAACTTGTCAGATCCTTTCCCCTCTCTCTCTCTCTCTCTCTCTCTCTCTTTTCCCTTTCATCATTTCCACATCCACACATTAAATTAAAAAACAAAAAAATATTATTTTTACATAAAATAAAACTCATTTTGAAAGAATAAATACAAAATTTTAAAACTAAGTTTAACCCATCTTGAATTGGAACGAAATGAATATCCTATCTGCAATCAATCAATCAAATATATATATATATATACACATTGAAGTTGGGATATGGAATCTTATATAAATTAATATTAGTTGTTAGAAGATTGCAAGAGCAGTTTCCGACCGGTACGAGTAAAAATTGATTGCAATTCAAAACAAAATAAAGTCGGCAAGTCACATGGTAGTAAATTCAAAAAATGGACCAACGTTGTGTAAATTAAATGGAATTCACAACATTTTTTTTAATTTGTGTTTACCAATCTACTTCAAGAGCAAACGGCCGTGGACTGACACGTCATCATTCTCAGTGAACCTCACGTCGGCCCAAACAGGCCCACTAATTATTTATTGGTTAAAACTTTTATGGGCTGAAAGTTTTAAAAAAGGCCCATTATAGGTTCCTCGAGGAGCAAACTTAAACCGCTAAAATCCAAAGTTCCCGGTGGCCGTGCATATATCATAATCATGCAATGTATACACACGTGTGTATATATCATCTAATTATCAGAGAATAATTTTTTTTTGTTAAAGTATCCGAGAATAATTCTTTAAAAATAAGGAAAAATGGAAACATTCTACGTCCCCCCCAAAAAAAAAGGAAACAACCCATTTAAGATAAGATTAGGGGTAGGTATTCGTTTGCTTGCAACCCAAGTCACACGCTTTGATTCGGGAAAAAACCACTCCAGATAAGATTATGATTTAGCCAATGCATCTCTATATATAATAAAGGGTCTGCAGCCACTTCCCACTCTCAAATCAGCCCTAACCCTAAGTTCTCCGGCGCTGTGGAAGATGGAGATCATAAAGCTTCTTGGCAAGGGCTCTTTCGGTTCGGTCAACCTCGTCAAGTTCACTGACGCTGGAGGCGACTCGGTCTACACCGCCATGAAGACAAGCAGCCGGGAGGACGCCGAGTCTCTGTTCAAAGAGTTTGGGATCCTTTCCAAGTTCCGAGGTTGCCCCAGAATCGTCCAATGCTACGGGGACTCGCTGATGCAGGCGGAGACCGAGGAAGGCCATCAGGAATTCAGGATGTTCATGGAATATGCATCAGGAGGGACTCTCATCGATCTCATGTGCACACGCTTCAATGGAGACTTGCCTCATCAGTTGATCAAAGAGATCACCCGCATGATTCTAGAGGGTCTGGTTTTCATCCACGGACACGGTTACGTTCACTGCGACCTCAAACCCACAAACATCCTCGTATTCCCGAGAGAGGGTAATGGTACATGCAGAACGACGTATGAGATCAAGATTTCGGATTTCGGGCTATCGAGAGAGGCCATGAAGGAAGATAATGAGTGGTCATGGTATTTTCCGTTCATCGGAACGCCATCCTACATGTCACCGGAGTCAGTTTGTGAAGGCAGGATCGGGACAGAACTCGATCTGTGGTCGCTGGGATGCATAGTACTGCAGATGTTCACAGGAGAGCTTCCATGGTCGGCAAGCCAAAGACATTACCTACGGTCTTTCCTAGCGAGCGGTCATGCGCCGATCGTTCCAGAGACTGTGCCTTGCGACGCAAGAGAATTTATAGAGACTTGTTTAGCGAGAAATCCGGAAGAAAGGAGCAGCGCAGCCATGTTGTTGGAGCATCCGTTCCTGCGTCAAGGGGAAAAGAAGACAGGGGAGAATATTGTCGGATGCGCTCACAGAATGCCGCCGCCTGGCTTCGACGTTATTCCGACAAGAAACCAGAGGATTTGCTCGTTGATCTCCAAGACGGACGAAGATTCGAAGTTGGTGCTGAGATCGCTGGAGCTACTCGCCATATCCATGCTGAATGGAGATTTGTCTTCCTAGGTATTTGTTTTTGTTCACGTAAACTCCGAGATTTTGCTGCATTTTGGATTTGTTTACGTTACAGTCGTGCCAACCAATTTGTTCGTGGTCAACTGTAATTTCTACGTCAGCAAAACTATTTTTTTAATATTATGCATTACAATTCACATCTTCCGTATCTTCTGTGTTGTTTTTCTTGATATATATATATATATATATATATATATATATATATATATTCTTATTTATCCAACTCCGTAATAATTTCATTACCAATCTTTTTAGTATGTAATGCAAACTTATATATTACCATATTTTTTGTGGGTCAAGGTCTGTAGACTAATAATTAGGTTATAGATTATATATGTTTTCTGAAATGGACAAAAATATATTGTATTGACCAACGATCTTCATACATAATTCTTTATAAAGGGGCAAAACCCATGAAGACTGCATTGCATTCAAACATCAAAGCTTTCAAAAAATACGCAAAAATGGCTTCTTATGGTTCAAAGAAGATGGGCTTTCTCATCATCCTCTCCGTTCTTGTCGCCGCCGCCTCTGCCGCGTTTCCAGACGTCGGTGTATACAGAGTGTCGCCTGGTGGGCCCAATCCGCGTCATCACGGCGCCATTCCTCCGGCGGCTATCACAAGGGTGTCGCCCGGTGGACCCAACCCCCGCCACCATGGCGCCATTCCTCCGACGACCATCAGAAGGGTGTCGCCCGGTGGACCCAACCCCCGCCACCATGGCGCCATTCCTCCGATGACCATCAGAAGGGTGTCGCCCGGAGGACCTAATCCACGTCATCATGGCGCCATTCCTCCGATGTAATCATGATCGTGACCATGATTCATTGAATAAACCATTGTTGCTACGGCTAACTAGGGCAATGTGGGATATATGCATGCCGGTGGTTATATGTACCCATCGATAAAATGGAATAAAGGTTTCTTTTGCGTTTATATATTTTGGATGTTTTTTTTTCCAAATTCGAATTTGCATCAGACTATATCTCATATGGAGTAACGATGCGTAGAAAAGATAAAATCAATGAGGTAACCTATATCTATAAAATTTATAAATAAAGTTAGAAACAATTATATATTAACAAAATTTATAATATATAATTCAATTAAATCGAAATTATATTATAAAAATCTAAATTAATATATATTCCGTTAGAAAAACTACATCATTTTGGTTTTTGTATTGGATCCAATTCTACTCCGTTTATATCTCTGTTCAATTTTTATTGATAAATAATAAATTTTAAAAAAATAGATTTTTCATTATTTGTATATTTGTGTTTGGATTTAGTTTTTCTAATTTTAAAATTACATTGAATCCAAACATTATATACAGGTTCAATTATTTTGATTTTAGAAAATCTATATCCTTCGTTTTTTTATTTTATATTGGATATCCGTGATTTTTGAGATATCCGTATCCGTATCCGATCCGCACAAATACTCGATTTTATTATCCGTATCCGATCCGTAATTTACGGATATCCAAAATTTGGGATATCCGTAAATATCGCGAATATTTGCGAATATCCGTAGCCGACATAAAAATTATAAAAATTAAATGCAAATTTAAATAACAATTTTAAATATAAAAGAAAATATATAAATTATTTAATATAAATGTTATTCACAATTTAAAATTCATAATTTAAATATTTTAAATCAATTCAAATATAAATATAATCATAATCTATTATATACAAATATATTGAAAGTTCAAAATTCAAAAATTAAACATAATAAATTTTAATATTTAAAAGATTAAATATTCTAAATCTCAATATATACAAAATATTTCTTGAATATACATATATAAAATATGTAAGTATAAAGCATTTTAAATTTTTATAGCAAATTATTTTTATATTTAATAATATTATTAATTAGTACGGATCGGATCGGATATGTCGGATAATTCGAATTTGATATCCGTATCCGACAGATATTTCAAAATAAATATCCGTATTTGATCCATAAATTTCGGATATCCGAATTTTCGATTCGGATACAGATTGGTTCGATTTTTTCGGATATTATGTCCACCCCTAGTTCAGCACGGTTTCTCGAACTAAAAAATACGATATTGTTTTTGAATTAAATCGTTTAAAATTTTCAATATTTTTTTTATAATATCGAATTTTTCCAAATCGAATAAAATCGTTTTAAATTTTCAATATTTTTTTTTATGAAACCGAAATTTTCTAAATCGAATAAAAGCGAATCGAATTTTAAAAGAATCGAACAAACACAAAAAAAATGAAGTCAAACGTTGTATAAGAGAAGAAGCCAGTGAATGTAATCAGAACCAATCTCCATTTAAAAAACCCAATTAGCCAAATAATATAAAATGGAGGCAAGTCTCTGTGTGTTTTTGTTATAATGTCCCTTCTGTAAAAAAAAAAAAAAAAAAAAAAAACTCCAATCAAACGAGTTAATAAAAGAAATCAAGATTTTGTTTCTTTAAGACATAATATATAAGGACAAAAGATAACGCAACGCAAACGCAGCAAAGGAAAACATCATAATTATTGAAGAAACCAAACCCATAACAAAAACAAACAAAGATTTTTGTCTCATCCCCTCTCATTATCACCGTCTGTCTTCCCCTCCTCCCATCACAATGTTCTTCGTCGTCTGTGCTATTTCCACTATCGTTGATCCCCTATATATCGCCCCAAGCACTCCTCCCTTCTCTCTCCTTCCACTTCTTTTCCTTCCGTGTCCTTCCCCGTAGTGCTGTGTCCTTCGCCGCCATGGCTCAAGCTCTCTCTGGCCTTGTTGTGCCGCTCCTCGGCAGCTCTAATGGCATCCATGGACATCTGCTGAGCTTTGGCTCTGCTCTCATGTATGTCCTCGAGCGTTGGCCTCTGACGTTCCTCTGTCTCTTTGCCCTTCGCCTCATCACTGCTGCTCATCACGAATTTTCCGACAGTGTGAGGCATCTCGACCCTCTTCATCCGCGTCTCCTGTCCTCTGTCGGAAACCGGCATTTTGTTGTCGGAAAGTGACTCGAACTGGGTCCCACCCTGCCTCTGCTTCCCCTCCGCCGCCGTCGTCTCTTTCCCGCCGGCGACTTCTGGTTTACCGGTCATTCTTGGAGTTATGTCTTTCTCCGCCCTAACTTCCCTCTCCGTCACGCTGGTCTTCCTCCTCGCTTGCTCGGACGCCATTGTATTAATCGAACTCACCAAAACCTTTCGATAAAGATTGATTCTTTTCTTCCATCCGATGATTTTGCTCTCTTCATGCTTTTATAATCGAAGGAAATTAACTGAAAATGCTGAGGAAATTGTGTGACGTGTTGAGCTTCGCGTTGAAACGTGTTAGGAGACAGTGACTCAGCGAGTCGAGGGGATGACGATTTTGCTATCGAGGGCGAAGTGGGTTTTCGGCACGTGCCCACCGCAACACTGCCACGTGGACGCTTCGTCTCCCTTTTTTATTTGGGCCTCTGAAGTTTGTCCGCTGGGCCCACTTATATCGGCCCACTTATTTGATAAATCAAGTGTGTTGATGTTCTGCTTATAAATATGCTTCTAAAACGAAATAATACATATATTGTTGTGAAAAACGAAGAAATATAGAAGATCCGAGAATCAGATCGTTAACTAGAAACCGAAATCGATCGTTTGAGAGATCCAGGAACAAGATTTCAATAATTTTCTTTTCTTGGAATTATGTACAAATGAAGGAGGGAAATGAGCTATTTATAGAAAATCCGAAGTTACTGTTCACGTATACGTATTTATGAACAGTAACCGTATGGCGGCTAAACAGTAACCGTATGGCGACGTGAACAGTACCCGGCTGCGTGAACAGTATCCGGCTGCGTGAACAGTACCGTAGCTTCACTATTCATTTATAACACTCCCCCTTGGAGCTACGGTTAATCAAAATGTATTTGCGTGTCTTATACTGCCTCGTTAAAAACCTTATCAGTAAAACCCCTTGGGATAAAACCTGATAAGGGAAAAAGAGTGCAGTTCCATGCTCCCCCTGTATATCGGATCAAAGGTCTCGTAGATGACGCATTCCAATGTTATGTACATGTTTCTTGAACATTGATGTCGGTAGAGCTTTTGTGAATAGGTCTGCTGCATTATCACATGATCGTATGTATCTGACTTCAATCTCCTTATTCTTTTCCAGCTCTTGGGTGTATGCAAAGAACTTCGGAGGAATATATTTTGTCCTATCACTTTTAATATATCCTCCCTTAGTCTGTGCAACGCATGCAACGTTATCTTCAAATAATATTATTGGAGCTTTATTGGTTGATAATTCACTAGCTGTCTGGATATGTTGAGTCAAAGATCTAAGCCAGACACATTCCCGACTTGCTTCATGTAGCGCGATAACTTCTGCGTGATTAGATGACGTAGCAACCAATGTTTGCTTTTGAGAACGCCAAGCTAATGCAGTTCCATTGATTGTGAAGATATAACCCGTTTGTGATCTTCCCTTATGTGGATCAGATAAATATCCTGCATCTGCAAAACCAACAATTTCTTGTTTTGTACTTTTAGGGAAAAATAATCCCAAATCGATCGATCCTTGAAGATAACGGAAAATGTGCTTAATCCCATTCCAATGCCTTCGTGTAGGATCTGAACTATATCTTGCTAACAGATTAGTAGCAAATGCTACATCAGGTCGAGTACAGTTGGCAAGATACATAAGAGCCCCTATTGCACTTAAATATGGTACTTCAGGACCAAGTGTCTCTTCACCATCTTCACGAGGGCGAAATGGATCTGTTTCAACATTCAATGATCTATTAATCATTGGAGTACTCAGGGGATTTGCCTTATCCATATTCCATATTGAACCGCTTTAGTACCCTTTTTGTATAATTAGATTGATGTAGAAAAATTCTCGTATTCAAATGCTCTATTTGTAATCCAAGACAAAACTTGGTTTGTCCGAGATCTTTCATCTCAAATTCTCCTTTTAAATAGGTGGATGCATCCTGAATTTCACGGGGAGTTCCAATGATATTTAAATCATCAACATAGACAGCAATAATCACAAATCCAGACATCGTCCTTTTTATAAACACACATGGTGAAATAGGATTATTTGTATATCCATTTTTCACTAAATGTTCACTCAGACGTTTATACCACATACGTCCTGATTGTTTTAGCCCGTACAATGATCGTTGTAACTTGACAGCGCATAATTCTCGTGGTTTTGATTTCAATATTTCGGGCATTTTAAATCCTTCGGGGATTTTCATATAAATGTTTGTGTCAAGTGACCCATATAAATAAGCAGTAACAACATCCATGAGACGCATTTCTAAGTTCTTTGAAACTACAAGGTTAATTAGGTATCGAAATGTAATCGCATCCATAACAGGAGAATAAGTTTCTTCATAATCAACTCCTGGTCTCTGTGAGAAACCTTGTGCGACAAGACGAGCTTTATATCTAGCAATTTCATTGTGCTCATTTCTTTTGCGTACAAATACCCATTTACATCCAACAGGAGTAACCTCTTTCGGTTTAATAATGACGTGTCCGAATACATTTCGCTTATTCAACGAATCCAATTCAGTCTGTATTGCGTCTCTCCATTTAATCCAATCTGGTCTCTTTTGACACTCTGAAATGGATCTTGGTTCTGGATCCTCATTTTCATCAATTTCCTTTGATACATTATAAGAGAATATATCATCAATCTCTTTGATTTCTTTTCGACTCCATAATGTACCATTACTGATATAATTAATTGAGATCTCATGATTTTCATTGTCTGTATTTATACCATCATCATAAGGTACTTCATTTCTTTGATTTGGAACGCGTTCCTCCGAATCGAGCATTTCATTTTTCTTGGGCCCTTTGCTCTTTCGGGGATTTTTATCCTTAGAACCAATAGGTCGTCCACGCTTCAGGCGTGCTTTAGAATCGTTTATTACATTTTCTTTCATTTGTTCTTTCGGAATTTCGATTCGAGCTGGGACATTCGCAGCATCTATATATGATCTTGTTACCTTAGTTGTATCTGCAAAAGCATCTGGTAACTGATTTGCAATGTTTTGTAAATGTATGATCCTTTGAACTTCCAGTTCTCGTTGTTTTGCCGGGGGATCAAGATGTGACAATGATGGTGTACACCAATTAAGATCATTTTTAGTTCCCGCCATTCTATCATTTTCTCCCCCTAATGGTGGGAATTCATTCTCATTAAATTGACAATCAGCAAAACGAGCCGTAAAAATATCTCCAGTTTTTGGCTCAAGGTATCGTATAATGGATGGTGAGTCATACCCAACATATATTCCAAGCCTTCTTTGTGGTCCCATTTTTGTACGCTGTGGTGGGGAAATCGGTACATATACTGCGCATCCGAATATTCTGAGATGCGATATATTAGGTTCTTGACCAAATGCTAATTGCAATGGAGAATACTTGTGATATGCACTTGGTCTAATACGAATTAATGTTGCAGCATGCAAAATGGCATGACCCCACACAGAAATGGGAAGTTTCGTTTTCATTATCAATGGTCTAGCAATAAGCTGGAGTCGTTTGATTAATGACTCTGCCAATCCATTCTGTGTATGAACGTGTGCAACTGGGTGTTCAACATCAATACCCATTGCTACACAGTAATCATTAAATGCTTGTGATGTAAATTCTCCAGCATTATCAAGCCTCACTTTCTTGATTGAGTATTCCGAGAACTGAGCCCTTAATTTAATTATTTGGGCTAAAAATCGGGCAAATGCCAGATTACGTGATGATAAAAGACATACATGCGACCATCTGCTTGAAGCATCAATTAATACCATAAAATATCGAAATGGTCCGCATGGTGGATGAATAGGTCCACAAATATCACCATGAATCCTTTCTAGAAATGATGGTAATTCATGCCCGATTTTAGCTTGTGATGGTCTGATTATTAATTTTCCTCTAGAACATGCATCACAAGAAAACTCATCTGATTGAAAAATCTTCTGGTTTTTCAATGGGTGACCATGAGAGTTTTCGATAATCTTTCTCATCATAATGACACCAGGATGACCCAATCGATCATGCCAAACTTTGAACATATCGGTAAACTTCTGGTTTACTGTGGCATATGATTCAATCACATAGATAAATATCCTGCATCTGCAAAACCAACAATTTCTTGTTTTGTACTTTTAGGG